TATATGTATATATATATACACACACACACACATATGCACAATGGAATATTACTCAGCCATAAAAAAGAATGAAGTCTTGTCATGGATGGACCTTCAGGGTATTATGCTAAATGAAATAAGTCAGACAGAGAGAGGTAAATACTGTATGATTTCACTTATATGTGGAATCTAAAAAACATAAAACAGAAACAGTTATACATAGAGAACAAAAAGGTGGTTGTCAGAGGGGAAGGGTGTTGGGGGAGAAAAGAAATAGGTGAGGGAAATTAAGAGGTACAAATTTCCAGTTCTGAAACAAATGAGTCATGGGTATAAAATGTATAGTGTGGGGAATACAGTCAATAACTATGTAGTATCTTTGCAGGGTGACATATTGTAACTAGACTTATCATGGTGATCATTTTGAAATGTATAGAAATATCAAATCACTATGTTATATAATAGGAACTAACACAGTCTTCAATAATTATACTTCAATTATACTTCAAAAACAAACAAACAAACTCATAGAAAAAAGAGACCAGATTTGTGGTTACCAGAGGTAAGGAGCAGGGGAAGGGAGAACTGGATGAAGGCTGTCAAAAGGTAAAAACTTCCAGTTATAAGATAAACAAGTACTAGGAATGTAATGCACTACATGATAAAAATAATTAACACTGCTGTATATTATACAGGAAAGTTGTTGAGAGTAAATCCTAAGAGTTCTCATCACAAGGGAAAATATTTTTTTCTATTTTTTAAATTTTGTATCTATATGAGATGATGGATGTTTATTAAACTTGCTGTGATAATTATTTTATAATGTATGTAAGTCAAATTATTATGCTGTACACCTTAAACTTATCCAGTGCTATATGTCAATGATATCTCAATAAAACTGGAAGAAAATAGATAAATAAATAAACAGGAAAAAATGTTAAACCAAAATGGACATTAAGGCACCAATTTTAGCTCAGTTCTATAAAGCTTTCGCAAAGATTTTATGTAAGCTCCATTTTCTTTTTCAATAGATCAACAAAAGTCACAAAACATGGCACTTAATCATAGAAACTCATTTCACAGAATTCATTATTTAAATCAAATATATCAACTATAAATAGTATAAAAATTTTATGTCCTTTTTCATGTAGTACTGTTTCTCTATAACATAGAGTGTTGACTTGTGAAATGGGATCAACCTCCTAGCAGAGTGGCAAGCATGTGATTGGTGCAATATAAATTTATCCCTTTAGAACTCATAAGGTAAGGGCATTGTCCTTAGGGTTGCTAATAACATGCTATGGAAGAGCTACTGTGCTACAGATAAAGTATAAAAATTTACTCTGGAAAAAGTTTACCTTGTTTGTTTTTTTTTACCTTGTTTTTTAAAAAAATTTTAGGTGTAACTTTGAAACATTGGGAATCCTGATTAGATGTTAAAGATGCCACATGGAGAGACTCCTACTTGTGGTAACATGTTTGAAGTAAGTATTCATTTAAAAATACTTGTGTCTATTATGTGCTGGCACGATGCTGCATCCCTGGGATACAATGATTGAGTTACTATGGTGAACAAGAAGATAAAACACAAAACAAAGGCTTCTAAGGGAGGGTGTGGTGTTTTGTAAGGTATCTTTTTACACAAACAAAAACAAACTCAAAATAAAAAGGAAGAAAAATCAGCTGAAACATGTAAGCTTTGGCTATTCAATGTAATGGTCTCAAAATTAAATGTCAAAAAAAAAAGTATTCTCTGACATGGGTCAGCACTGGATTTAATGAAGACCTGGATTAAAGTCTTCTGTATAAAAATAATATACATAAAATATAAAGTAAAGAGTATCATAAAAAATTACAAATAAAATGCTATGGAAGTTCTGAGGTATCTTGCTAAGAATGGGTCTGAAGGATTGTTAATATCCTAACATGCAGAGATGGGAAGGGAAAAGTAACATTATTGTGAAAAAGTAACTAACATTTATTGTGTATCCACTATGTCAGATCCTGTGCTAAATACTCCCACCCATCATCTATATAACACTCACAACTCTCCAGTTTCATTTTACAGATGATTACACTAATACTCTGAGACGTCAGTTACTTGTCTAAGGTCACACTGCAAAAAGTGCAGAAGCAAGAATGGGACGACCGGGTCTAAAATCCTGTGACCTTTCCACTATAACATTCTAACATATACAGGGGTGAAAACAAAGAGAGGATAGTTAGGATTCAAGTAATCTTGAGGCTAATGTCAAAGTTTCAGAAAACGGAATTCAACTTATTTCCTGTCTTATGTAGTGATTTGTCATTTATTAGCTGAGTAAGTCTAAGGCAATGCTTCTTAAACTTTTCTCCATAAGGACAGAAGAAACTGAACCCATCCCCACATAGCCCATAAGCATAAAATTTCTTTGAAGTCTTTGAATTTTACCTAGAAATTAGTGTGAATATTACATTCTCCATATATCTTCTGTTTAATATAAAAACACTATTTTTTATCCAGCTCTTCAAGTGAAATTGATGACAACTCCATTAGTGTGTGCCATGTTCTGTGACGACAGATTTATCTCTTGGCACACTGCAGCTTATCACTAATACTCCTATTTGAAATGCAAAGGTCGGGGGGATAAAGTAAGCTATTTCTTGATTATTCAAGAACCAACGATGCACGCTGAGGATTATTTAACACCAAATGAAACTCAAGTAACAGTTATTGGCCATAGCCTTATTTTCTAAAATATGAGAATACCCTACTGAAAGCAGGAAAGCAATCCTGACCCACATATAGGGAGGAAACACCCTTTTCTCCATGTCACCACAGTAATAAAGAACCTCTGCCACGGAGTAAAGACGCATCTTAATAGTTTCCATGAGCCATTTTAAGGCCACTGTAAGAAATAAGGTCCTGGACCTAGAAATACTAAATAGATCATGCAGAAAATTTTAATTAGCCATGTCAATGCTCCATTCTGTTAAAAGGTAATCAACAGATGCCTTAAATTTTTTTCCAAAGTGCTTTCAAATACTTTACTTTGTTCAACTTCAGAGCTCATTCCGAGACTAATACAATAGCAAGTACTATCGTCTGGAAATTAAGTCACTAGTAGGGTAAGTACCTCTTCCAAGATTGCAATCAGTAGCAAAGGGAAACTTAAATCCTAGAAATCTGATTTCCAGTTTACTGAGCTACTAAGGAAAACTGCATCTTTTCATACTTATTTTGCAGCATATATCAAAGCATATCACACACTATTTAGTAAGTAACTAACTGATAAACTCGATTTCACAAACAGAAAAAGAGGCTGAACACAATTATGTAACTAGGAACATAAGATAGTACCCCTGCTCTCTTATGATACATTCCTAGTACTGACTTTAAAAAAAAAAAGAAAAAGACAAGAATTAGGAAGTGGGAGGGTGGGAAGAAAACAGGTTAAAATTCCTTCACAAAAAAATTACATATCCATAATGGCATCAAATTCAAGTGTTTGTGTGTGTTTTTCCCCTAACAATATACGGTTATGGCTTAATTGGTTGGTCACTAAAATAATTTTTCTTTCCTGTGTGGAAGCAATCTACCCACTGAAACCTAAGGTAAAACTGTTCATTACATTATCCTCCTAAACGAGACCAAAGAATATGTCATAAAAAGGAAAATGGGCTCTTAGGCGTTTCTCCTGTCTAGTAAAATTTCAAGGCAACACGTACCAACACTGGAGACAAAAAAAATTCTACTTGGATTTACCGTAAAGAAAAGGTTTATAGCGTATTAAAGCCTACATGTTAATCTCTGTGCCATTAACTTCTTGAAGCATTCTAAGAAGTCCGCGGCAAAGAGAGGGAAATAAGTGTTAGGATCATAACCTATGAATGTGGGTGGAACAAAGACTTCTCCCTTCATTATGCAGAGAGAACAAAGTTGCCAAAAACGCTCTGCTCAGATACCATGCGTGGTTACTGACTGCACCTCTGGGTACAGAAAAGAAAAAAATCAAATACTGGTCAAAGGCCGCCCCTGCCTGCCCCCGCCCCTTTCGCCCAAGGCCTCGCGCCAGAGCTGCAGCCCCAATCTCTTTCTCCCCAACATAAGAAAGCGGCTTAACCCTAAGAGTTCTACAAGCTCCCGTTCCCGTCTCCTACGCAGACGCCCCCGGGGCACCGGTCCAACCCGAGTTCCAAATCCAGTCGCTGCCCCCCTCCGCGACCCCGCCCAGACCCCCAAAGCCCTGCTGCCACTGACCACTGACGTCAGAAAGGCCAAACCCGGCCCCCGCGGGGCTGCCCCAGCCCCGCAGCGCTCTCCCCTCCTCCCGGCCAAGGCGTGCCCAGAATGGGACGCGAGCGCGTCCCTCGGCTGTCGCTCGGGCTCGGCAGAGCGGCGAGGAAGGAAAAATCAGCGCAGTCAGCCGCCCTCCCGCCCCACAGCAGCAGCGAGGTGGGCACCAACCCTGCGCTGGCTTACTGGTCAGGGGCGGGCGGTGCCAGGGCGAGGGCCATCGCTCGGCCCCCGGAGCCGGGTTGGCAGCGAGAGAAAGGTGTGGTTCAGGAGCGGCGGCTTCCCGTCGGGGCCTGGCCCCCATCCGTCGGCGCCGGGGCCTCACTCACGACCCCAGTCGCCACCCAGTCAGCACCCAAGCCTACCCAAGACCCTTCTCCGGGGCCGCGAACGCCGCCCTTGGGGGTCGCCACGGTCGCAGCCCTGTCAAGTGGTGACAGGCGGTGACGGGTGACCATGGCAACCCGAGGTGTGCAGCGCGGCCCGACCCCGCCTCCGCCTCCCGAAGTCGCTCACCTGAGGGCTCCGGGACGAGCCCGGAGAAATAGCGGAGGAGAAAGCGGCGCGGAGGCCGGAGACGGGGCCCCCAAGCGGCGGGCTCTGGGCTGGAAAGGGAGTGTGAGGGCGGCGGTCTGGGCTCGACGTCGGTCTTGCCTCCAGCCGCCCGCGCGTCAATCCATCAGCTCGTCAGTCTGTCTTTCCTCCCGTCTCCCCCTCCCGGACCGGCGACCGTCCGCTCAGCCTCTCACACACTGCGGTTGTCAAGCGGCGCTGCAGCCGAGCACCAGCCCCGAGCCGCAGCCAATCGCCGCGCTTCCCCGAGGCGCCTCAGGACCCCGCCGAGCGGGGCGGCCAGGCAGGTGCCTGCGTCGAAGGGAGAGTCGGCTGGGCGGGCGCCAGCCCGGGGCACGGTGGGGACTAGTTTGGTGGACCGGCTCCCCGCTAGCGCTCCAAGGACCAGCTGGACTCGAAGGAAAAGCCGGCGCGGCGACTGCGTGAGAGACCAGCAGCCGGCACGCAGACCCTTTGGTGGCTGGTGACCCCGCGTCCCGAAATAGGGCGGAGGGGGTTGTCTCCTCCGAATGGAGAGTCGTCTGCGCATTAGAAGTGACTCTTAAGACTCCTCGCTGTTGATCTATTAATAAGGGATAACGAAATAAATCTCGCCGCCTTCTCCTCTCTGCTTTTCCCGGTTCCACTTCCTTCCTGAAGACTCCAGCAGTTTAATCCCCCCTTCTTGATGCTTGAAGTATTTTTGTTATTTAACACTTAACACATTCAGTGTTTCCCATCACCCGTTTTGGTTGTAAGCCCCATGACAGCAGACCTCACTAGTTCCCACCCTATCGGTGCAGCAGCATTCCACAAATATACCTGATGCTCAACCGAGCTGAATTAAGCATTCAGGGGTAAAACCATGTAGAGCTAACGAAAGAATACAGGACACAAACCTGTAAGAACTTGGTCCTCACAAAGGCTAAAAGCCAAGAGTAAGTGGGGCCTCCCAAAGTGAGGGAAATGTGGCAAAATGGACTGGTAATAAACATCAGAAACATTTCTGGAAAGGAAGAATTTGACCCAATTCAAGATAAAAGAAGCTATAGCTTGAGGAAAAGGTTCTAAGAAAAATATTTACAAATTGATGGAAAACAATTTAAGCACAGAAGCTTAACTGCAAAACTTCAATTGCCTAGCCCTGATTAACTCCTGGAAGAAAGTCTTCATTAAGAACGCTCTCAGTGATAAGTGACAGAAAAATAAATGTAAACACAAGTTAATGTTACCCAGGGTCTTGATGTTAAAAACACAGCAACAACAACAAAAACTTTACAGAACGTATAAAATGAAAAAGTGGGCAAATATATCTTGGAAATAAATAGTCTATTGATTATTTTACCAGTATAGTTTACCTGACAACTCGCTTCTCAATCTTGATTCTCAAACAATAGCAGTTACAAGAACCAGCATCACTTAAATCTTCAACTAAATCTAGAAACAGTTACTAATCAGGAACAATCTGAAAAACATTTGACCACCTAATAGGGGCAGAGTGCTATAAAAAGGAAGAGCCTGACCTTCTGGCACTAGATTGGTTTCGGTGTTCACTAACTACAAAACAAAATGCTTCACCTATATTCTCATTTAAGCCTCACAATCTCCCTTAAAGTGCCTGTTAATTATTACCATTTTAGAGATTAAGGGAAATAAATCACCCAAGGTCAAACAGCTGATAGGTAGCAGAGCCAAGATTCTAACCATTCTGAATCTTAAAACCTTTATCTATTCCACCTCACTGTGTAATAACTGGAAATTTTAGCTTTAAGAAAATGGACTTTATTCTGACAAGGCAGAGGGAATAAGAGGTCTTATTCATGTTTATATCCCTCATGCCCTAGGGCATAGTGTTATTTGCATCTAAGTTTTCAGTAAATAGTAATCAGAAATATTGGAAGCAGATGCACAACCATTATATTTCCAGAAAAGGGGGATGAGAGGAGGAAAAGAACCAGGCATTGAAATACAAGACATCTGGTACATCTTATCACTTGTACACTGATAAATGCATTGACTATGTATTTGCTTCCTAATGTAACATCAAGTTTTACACTACAACCTTAATAGCTGTTAGTCTAAGATATCACCTTTCCTTCTACACTCAGCCACACTGGTTAAGATTAGATCTTCTTGTCTTTCACTCTAGTTGCTGTAAAGCAGAGAATTGTTCAGAAAGGACAAGCCTTTCTTAGATGAAGGGCTGTCCTCACATCCTGAGGTACTGCCTCAATCACTCACCAAATATTTAGAGTGCCTCCTCTGGATCAGTAACTAGGCTAGGTATCATTTGAAAATGCAGGTTCTAACTTGACGGAATGATTCATGGTGACTTGTGACTCAAGCCTATAGGCTAAGGTGGACCTGTTTTCATCTGATTCTCAAATCTCACTTCCAAAAGGGAGAATAAAAGGTTTTGGTGTTTCCCCAAAAGTAGAAAGGAAGCTGAGTACAAACCTAAGTAAGGAACTCTTGCCTCAAGTTGTTCAGGGGAAGATCAATGGGTATAAGGGAATTTGTTTTAAAAGCTCCACTCTCATTAGAATGCATACTCATAAATATACACACCAAAGAGCTGTGTGCTTCAGAGCCAGCAGTGCTCTGGCTCTGGGAAAACAAAGTACCACCACGGCTGCTTCTCCTTCAAACAGGTTCAAGGATTATGAAGGTAGAATACTGGGTCTACCAGAGCTCCTCTCCACACCCCTAAATAAAAGCTTAAATTCTATGCAGATGGTTGAACCTAGTAAAGAAACATACCTTCTTGTTTCAATGTAAAAAAGGTATGCTTTTATTTATATTAAGTAAATATCTGGATGTTATATTGAAAACAAAGTAAATAAAATAAAATACTTGTTTTGGAAAGAAATACTCAACCTATTTAAATTAAGTCATTGAAATAGTTGAACAATTTTTTAAAACTAGAAACTATGTGTTAGGAAATGTTAATAATATGTTGGTAAGGGGGAAATCTCCCCCCTATCTTTTTTGAGTTTTTTTTGTCTGGTCTAATGATTAAATTGACACCAGACAGATTAACAGGAGAAAAAAATGAATTTAATTACCTATGTGTGGGAGTCTATAAGAATATGAGGCCCTAAACCAAGTTAGGCAAATGAGGCTTACATGCCATCTGAGAAAAGAAGAAGGGGTTAGGGATTTGGGACTCCAAAGGGGAGGAAAACACTTTACAGGAAGATGGGAAAATGTTTGGTAAACAAATGTTTGCTGGGCTATGCAGAGACAATGGGACACAAAGAAGACACTGGTCTCCAGGCCCTGAAGAGCTCCCCTTACCACTCTTAGCCCATATTCTGTGTAGGTATCTCCTGCGATGGTGCTCTTCCTGGACCAGGCCCTTTACCTAAATTCTTTTAGGCAGTTAAGGGGGAGGTAAAAAGAAAGACTTCCTGAGTCTTTTGTTTCTTAAAAATAATCAGCATAAAATAATGCTCATGCCAAAGAGAAACATTTTAGGGAGGCAAATTTTGCTCCCCTACCGTCCCACCTTTAAAACTTCCCCCAAGAAATTTCATAGTCCGGAAGCTGAGTTGGAAGATTGTTTTATCTCACTGAACCAGTCTCTTAGTCCTGACAATAGATTAGTTCAGTTAGACTCATTTTAGGAGAAGGTGATTCAGGTGGGCTCCCCAAAATAGGGCTGTGGTGCAAGCAAACAGACATTTAATGAGGCATTTCTATGGGGACAAAATAAAACAATGGTTAATGACTAGAGCAGACACATAATCCCAGTTCCTGGGATCTGAAGGCAGCCAGTGGAGATTTCTAGATGTCCGGCTTAAAGCATATTCAGATGGAATAGGGCAGGCAGTGACAATTTGACAGATTTTCCTCGTTTGTCACTCGAATGTCTTTGGTGATGTCATCAGGTATACCAGTAAACTTTCTGAGTGGCCCACATAGCAAGAGGCACAAAAAAGATTGTCTAAAACATGAGCAACTGTGGTGATTTCTCTGAAGTTTATATCAAGTTTTCTAGTTTTAGTTTGCAGGGCTTCAGGAGAAAAGGCAATTCTCAACAATTCCAAATCAAAAGGATGGGAAAAAGCAGACATTTGTTCAGAGAGTTGTAGCTAGATATGAGGAAACTAGAAGAATTGAGGATCTAGTCCAGTTTACAGGTAGAAAACAAACCTCAAAGACAATGGACAGTATTAGAAGCTAATATCCACAGTGTATTACTAAAACAAATTTTCTCTCTAAAATCATGTTTTTATAAGTTTATTTATTTATTTTGGCTGCATTGGGTCTTCGTTGCTGTGCGCGGGCTTTCTCTAGCTGCGGTGAGCGGGGACTATTCTTCATTGCGGTGCGCGGGCTTCTCATTGTGGTGGCTTCTCTTGTTATGGAGCATGGGCTCTAGGCGCGCATGCTTCAGTAGTTGTGGCACAAGGGCTCAGTAGTTGTGGCTCGAGGGCTCTAGAGCACAGGCTCAGTAGTTGTGGCGCATGGGCTTAGTTGCTTGGCGGCATGTGGGATCTTCCTGGACCAGGACTCGAACCCGTGTCCCCTGCGTTGGCAGACGGATTCTTTTTTTCTTTTTTTTTTTGCGGTACGCAGGCCTCTCACTGTTGTGGCATCTCCCGTTGCGGAGCACAGGCTCCGGACGCGCAGGCTCAGCGGCCATGGCTCACGGGCCCAGCCGCTCCGCGGCATGTGGGATGCTCCCGGACGGGGGCACGAACCCGTGTCCCCTGCATTGGCAGGCGGACTCTCAACCACTGCGCCACCAGGGAAGCCCGGCAGGCAAATTCTTAACCACTGCACCACCAGGGAAGTCCCATCACCCGAATTTTCTACCAAAGGTAGCCAACTTAAGACAAATTTGTTTGCAAAATAATTTTAGTTTCAATAAACTTGGCCTGTTTATCTACTTAAATACAGCAAGAATTGCAACTGACCATGTAGGCCCTCCTAATCTGCTTTGTTGGAACTTTTCATAAGGAATTTCAGACTGGACTTTTTTTTTTATATGTTCAATATCAGAGAGAAAACCAAATTCTAATTTTGCACAGCCTTACTTTTGTATTAAAACTCATTTACTTAAATAAATTTATTCCAATCTTAACCAGTCCTAACCATACATAAAATTTCTTCCCAAAGATTCCTTTTTTCACAATTTTTCTATAACTTTCTATGTCTCTTTTAGTTTGTCTCTTGTTCTCTTTCCCATTTAGAAATAATCAGTTTTAGGACAAAGACACTCATTTCCCTCAACAAAAATGCATCTCCATATCTCATACCTTTTCTTAACCAAAAATACATCTTATTTTTCTTGCATACAGAATTGTTTTCCTTATTATTTCTAGCAGCCTTAGTCACACATGTTAATTAGAAACCTTAATTTATAGTGAAAATAAAGAAGTAAACAATTGTGAATGGTATTAGCATTTTGTGGCTTGGTTAATTTATAAATAC